AAGACACTTCAGCAGATTAGTCACAAAAGCTCTGCCCTTGCTCCCACATCATCTGAAAAGGATGACATTTCAATTGCTGACACAGTATGATCCTGTACAGACAACTGGTAAGTAATTTAATAGATCAGTCCAGAACTTCCTGTAAGCAATACAAGCAATTCAATTAGTTTCTCACAATAGACTACAGTGGTTATTTGATGAGCTTTGAGCACTTCATCGGGCAATTCTTCACAGGGGCAGGAATGCCCTGCTGTTCCTGTTCACCTCCATCAGCACGGAGGTTTCAGCACTCAATGAATGGGGACAGTGAGCATGTGAGCGCTCCCAGAGGCACACATATGCAGCAGGAGGGTGATAACCGTGATTAACTTTCCCAGTCCTAAAGTTCAGGACAGCAGATGTGTCAAACAACTGGAGCGGTGGTCACCACCCTCGCCATGACAGACTCCAAAGTCTTCCCCAACCCAGATTTGGGCTACTGGTCCAACTCTGTGGACAGTAGCAGTGTCTTTAGGATTAACTGTTCATTGAGGTTTCAGCTATTAAATAACAAATATATGGGCCAGAATGTAAAAAAAAAAAAAAATTATAATAATAATAGAAAGAAAATCAAACCAAAAAAATAAATCCACACCACTTCTTACCATCTTAAATCATCTAAGTGCATACCAATATCTGGAATAACATGTTATATTGACATATTATTTTTGCCAAGTACAGAATATTTCTACCCTGCATTTAGAAAGGAAAAAAAGAGGGTATTTTCCCTCCTCTTCAGCATTAACTTGCATGTAGTTATCTTTGTATATTTAAGAAGTTATTAGCTGGTTAAAAAAATTTAATGTACTTTTCCCCTCATTGAAAAGTCTTGACACCTCTTAAGGGTTCCTGAGATGCTACACACACAGGCTATCTCAGGTAAGTTAAATATTAATCAGTAAGGTGGAATAGTTAAAATTAATGCAATCTCTGTAAAGACCCTCTCATTCTGAATTAAAACAGACTTTGTTTGGTTTAATTTGCCCAAGAAATGAATTATGCAAAATTAAAGTAAGGTCACATCAGTTCTGATCCTCCTGAAACAGAGCTGCTTTACTTAATTTGAATGAAATCTGCACTTGAAGACAATTCCTTAGCTAGCCACTATTTTTTCCCCCCCTTCTCTCCCTACTCTCCTGGACTGATACAGAATTAAGTTTTAAAATGTTTTGTTAGATTCTTGTAATTCAAGAGCAGGTTTTTAGTGTTGGTTAGTATTCACTAGTCTGGACACAAACACATAGCTTTGGGTAGCTGGCTAAATAATTATAATCATTAGACTTACATTTCTAGCAAATAGCTACCTTCAAGCATACATTCTACAGAAAGCTCTGTAGTTTTACACACTTTCTAGAGACACTGATGCTACTAATGTGGCTGGAATTCTGATCATAGCTGACGCAATAAACCCTTGAATACAAATGCATTTAAAACAATGTTAAAGTTTAACGTTAAATTTCCACACATAATAAACACATCCTTTTCTCCAAACATGCGAATACCTATAATTAAATGTACAAGATTTTTGGAAGAATTTGATTTATTTTCATATTCAGTTTATAATTCCATGAAAACTACCTGTTCTAGACTTTAGATGGGCAGCAGGGAAGAGAAAGTGGCTCAGAAGAAAATTCAGTTAAGAACTTTTTTATCTTTTTTTTTCAGGAAGAAAAGAAAGGTTACAATGATTAAACTGAAGGACTAAGATCCTTCGAAGTAGTCATGGTATCCTAATGACGAGGACATTCCTTTGGACAGAAACACAAGCATGGTTCAGTTGAGGGCTCCATCTACGCATACTATCAGGCTTTCAGCGGTGGCCAAAAGTAGATGCTCAGAGAAAAGGAGCAACGGGTTAAGCATATATAATATTTCTCTGCACTAATTTTTACTTTCCCCAAACTCAAGACAATTTTTAGCTCAGGTGATATTCTAAACTCAGTACAGTTTACTTAGATCCTCAGTGGATCTGTCTTCCAAGCACTAGTCCAGCTTGTCCTTTTGACTGCAATACGAAATTTTTGCAACTATACTATCCTTAAATAAGAAATTTCACTAGTCTATCCTGGTTTCATTCCTGACTGCTAGTGGCTAGTGGTTGACTGGCATTTTAAATGTAAAGCTCATTTGACCCAACATGTATGACTTCATATTAATCTGCCCTGAATTTTCTGCCATTTTATTGTCTTTGAGAATTCCTGCATAAATTCATCTGAGATAGAAAATCTCTGTAAAACAAATAAAACTACCACAACCAAAAAACAACCTGTGATGGAATTTATTGCAGCATACACCTACATTCCCTGAAAAGTTTCTTCTACTCTGAGCATGCTCTACCCCTTCCTGCTTTCATACTGGGCTGCTCCATACAATGGAAAAAAAAAAATCCACACAATTAACAACACATTATGTTGCATAAAACTCTCGCTGCCTTCATGCTGTCATTTCCTAACATTTTGCATGCATAACTTTGTATTTACCTTCATATTTTAAACAGAATGTCAACTCCTGTGTCCTACATACAAGATGAAGTTTTTAGCATAAGGCACGGATTCCTACAAAGAAAGTTTGGCTTCTTACTAGAAGGTTACAGATTGTTCAGCTTCCAAAGAGAGATCATTAAAAATGGCTGTGAGACACTTTTCACTCCATCATTTGTCAGAAAAGCTGAACCGTATCTTTCATTATAATTAAGATTCAAATTTGGAATGAAAGAATAAAAACTCAAACTACTTTTCAGTAGAAATAGTATCCCGCATAGTAATTCTAATTTTGTCTGACCTTTTCCCTTCACATATTTGAAGTCTTAAGATTTCTCGGGGTAAGACTCTTTCAGAAGGATCTTGAAGAAAAGCTTTTTAAATAGGTTATATGATGGAATTAATGTGTTAAAAATATAAGACATTTGAGTGAAATACTTCCAGAGGAATATGTTTGAAGATTAAGGATTTGCCTTTATATTCTCTACTTAAAGATAGCTTTCTATCCACACAAAGCTTTCACTGCTGCTTCAGTTTTCTGTGGTGTCCAAGCAGTCCTAATCAGGATTTTAAATTGCGAAGTTGAAAAATTTTGCACAATATTGAGGTTTGCTATCTTGCCCTGGAGGAGCAAAGTAACATGCAAATTGGGAGAAATGGAGTCAGTATTACATAGGCTTTCTTCTAAAGAGAGAAAATTTTCTTAGAGTGACAAGCAGTGGTTTATTATCATGTATTTTCTAATTACATCTACCTATCTACCTATATCTTTAAGATTACATAGAGAATGGATTTACTGAATTCAGATAAACAAAATCATAACAAATTTTTGCCACAGTGAGGACTTTTGCATAAGTTTGATTTTGTATCAAAAACATTTTAGCAAATATAAAACCCAAAAAAAAGCATTTGAAAAACATGTTTAAATCCAGATTTCTTCTATTAGTCATTTTAGTTTTTATCCAGGATAATGACAAGCTACAAAACCCCTTTAGAAAAGATTTAATTTTAAATCCTAATTGTATAAGAAGCTTGTTCTCTCTGCATCTGTCTTATCTTAGTTCATTGTTTAAGATTGTCTGCCTTAATTTCTTTTATTTCTCATTTTTACTTTATACCTCTTTTCAACAGATGTTAATGGAATGTTATTAATCTGCGTTCAAAAATGATAATTCGCTTACTCTATTTCCTAACGTTCCTTAACTTCAGAATATCTAAGTGACCTTGAACAAAAATTCCTGATTCTAAAGCTTTCCAGCCATTGCTCTTCCTTTCTTTATAGATTTTGTCCGTCTCGTGCAAGTGCTCGGCTTGGGCTGAACATTCTCTTTCCTCAATGCTAGATGTTGAATGCTGAACAAAGTCTTTTTTATTATAATTTTGCTCTATATTTCAAAACTTCATCCTATGAAATCAAAGCAGAGAAATGGAAAAGATAGTAGACATGCTGTAGTTACATTAGAATAGATGAGGAATATTTTAAAATGCCAGTGGAGAGATGGTGCTGAGAACTCATTAAAGCAAAGTTCCTTCACTGTCTGCCTTTTCCACTACACGCCATGCAGTAATTCAGCCACACTAGTTTTTATGGATTTATGCAGAGAAAATATTGTAGATTCTATTCTCTCTGGAAAATGCCTAGTGTGTTTTCTAAAAAAAACATATAAAGCAAACAAAAAATCCTCTATGCTACCAGAAAAATGTTTTTGAGAAATGAAAATTCATTACAATGCACATAGATCAGTGCATCAATATTTTCATTATGAGATAATCAGTTAATGCTTGAAATGGATGCTGTTAGTGAAAAGAAATGAAGCCGCATTTTCTACAGGTTCCTGTAATACAGACTCTGCTCAAAGACGCTCCTCCTCTTAAATAGGTCAGTGTATTCCTTTCGCACACACAAACACGCACACTTTTCCCCTGCTTTTTGTCTGATGCTTAAAAACACTAATAAAGAGTAAAGGCTTGTAAATACATTGTGATAAGAAAGGTATGGTTAGGCTAGTCCTGGCAGGAGAGTCTGGCCATGCTGCAGCGTCCTCTGACCGACGTCACCGTGTCGCTGCAGAGGACAGCGCGGGGACTGCTCAGCTTTCGGAGCGACGCAGGAGCGCAATCAAACTGCCCGTTTGATGGGCCTCTTTCTCCCGCTTCATCAAATTCACCCTAGAGCAGGGACAGCTTCCCGTTAGCGGCACTGCAATCATTGCAGATGCCCGTGTGGAGGAGGATGCGCACATGGCCTGTTGGAGCTTGGAAGAGGGCCTGTACCAGCTCATCTGGGTCAATATGGGAAGAGGTTTGACAAAAGCCACAGCTGCAGGTGTCCCTTCCCTAAGGCCCTGCAGTGGCAGCTCCATGTGCCCAGCACGTCCTCTCATTGCAGCATTTGGAAAAGAAAGGGAACCACACACACAGAGGTCCAAGAATAAAACAGGAACACTTTTGGTAAACGTCCAAGGGCTGCAATACAAAGTTTTTCATCTTCTCTGGTTTTACAAGGCTCGAGTTACCTTAATAATACCCTAATTACTATGATGAATTTGGTCTTCTGCAGCGTGCTCGTGATTTTTAAGCTGAAAGAAGCTATGCAAAGACACCTGAAATGGAATAATCCTTAAATGCATCTGGTCTATGATCTAGACAAGGGCATGTCTAACATTCAGATTGTCTAATTAGTCTTTAGGGGTTCACATGCACCTCTCGTAGCTTATATTTTGGCACTTCAACAGCAATAAATGAAAACAGAACACTGTTTGTAAGGCCTTTCAGCTGAGGGAGGGGGACAACTTGTTTTAAAGGCCATTTTGCCCATACAAAGTTGCTGGGCAATTTCCACTTCTGCACTTTGTGGAGTGGCACAAAGCGATGTTTCTTTGCAGCTGCTGGGAATTATTTTCCCATTTCACATCCTCTCATGAATAGCTGTAGCTCTTACATAATTTCTTTCAATCTTTGCTTCCAAAAAATATAAGCATATTCCTGGGACTCAGAACTGACCTTAACAAGTGAGTGCAATTCCTCATTTATTTATTTTACTGCAAATTAAGCTAGTAAATGGGAGGGAAAAAAAAGTCACTGTAGCTCTTCGCGTAGGTTACATCATCAATACAGTTAAAAATTAAATCAAAACTGGAACAAAATTTTAACAACTACATTTTTCCTTTTCTACCAAGCCTTTATCCCATGACTAAATCCATTAACAAAATGACTCACGTTATTTGCTTTTTCTACTTTTCTAGCTTTTTAAAATTAACTTCTCAAGCTCTTACTATTTATCAGAAGAAGTTTACAGAATCAAAACTCTGGTGATGAAAAACAACATTCTCCCTCCAGAAATCCCATCTAAGGATTAAAAGCAAAATTTCAACAGACATTTCAGTTCATTCGCTTTCAGGAAAAGCGTAGCAAGAAGGCTTAAAAAATACAAAAACTGAAAAAACATAAATCCACTCATAGATCACAGTTCTTCGCAATCACAATCCCTAAGGTCCCTAAAGACAGATAAATTCAGGGAGAGATGGTAATGGACCATTTCCTCTGCAATCATGGTATTTGGCCCTGCTTTCCCACATTGAGCTGAACGAGCACCTCAGCAGAAGCACAGGGCATGAAGCACCCTGTATTTTGAAGAGCTCAGACATTCAGAAGACTGGAAATAGAGAGCCAGTGCTTTTCATTTCCCTGCTTCAGCCAAGAAAACCTTACTGGGGTGTTGCTGGCCCAGAAGACCTTTGGCCAGTCCACTAACCAACTCCTGAACCTGGCAGCTTTGCAAAAAGCAGAATGGGTGCCCTGGCTGCCAGCAAGCCAGGATCTGAGAAACGTGCAGCTCGGACATCCTTAGTAGCAGTATCAGAGACAAGCAAGTGCCTAGAGACTGAAACTGCTGCAGCCCTCTGCACTCTGCACTGCTTGTCTGCCAGAATCTCCAAGTTCCTCTGAACTTAATTAAGCAGCATGTATTAAAATTGGCAGAATGCATGGAGACTACCTGCTCTGAGTTCAAAATGCTGTTACACAGCTGTTGCCAGCCCTGAAAGGATTTCTTTTTACAAATTCATAAGAACTTTGTATCTTTCAGTTAAGAATCGAGAAGTAGAATGTCTTAGGAATATTCATCTCAAATCACTTAACGGTAATTCCAGATCTTTGAGTTAGCTGAATATCTTTTGTGACCACTTTCCAACAAAAAAAACATTAACAAAACACAGGGAAAAACATCACTATTAGAAAAATTAAAGCACCTTATTTATAGTAATTGATTAATTTAATATTATTTCCCTCATACTGTTAGATTATTATACTTTAAGACCAGAAGAGGCCATGCAAGAAACAGATTGATCATAGCTTCTCACATCTACTCAAAATACTCAGATTTTCAGCTCACCCTTCATATGCCACGTCTTGCATTTGTAAATATCTGCCAGGGAAATGACTGCACAAAGATAGGCACATTGGATGCTATACAGAATCAGGTTTAAACAGTTACTAACACTAACAGAAATGATTCAAACAATTGCTCAAATGATTTCAGTGATCATATTTCCGATGATTGCACACTGATTAAATATAGAATGTTTTCAGGTCCTGTGGTAATTAAAAAAGGAAAAAAGGAAGAAACAGTAATATAACTCAACGCAAAAAAAATTAGAAGTAATTAGTCTAATATTCTCTTTCTATATATCCTCTAGGTTGTAGAGGAAAAGTTATTCTGGAACATTTAGCTACCATCGCTAACTAGACTATTATATTCTTGTTAAATAATTAATCTTAGGATTTTTTTCCAGGAGACCACTGAACTTTTTGCAGTTTAATTAAGAAAAAGTTGATAATAGGACAACATTGCTCTGTAGGCCTGTTAGGCTTCAAATTTTACTCTGCTCAATTCAAATGCAGACCACATCTACTAAATTCTGTAGGAAGCATCACTCCAAGAGCAAAAATACTGGTGTTACCCTGATTTCTCAGAATTGTTCCATTGATGCTTCTATAACATACATGCCTGAAACTGAGGGCTGAGTTCAAATGTTTTTACTTTAATGATCTCAGAATCCACAAGCAATAATGGAACTATAATCAAACTGAACTGAAACCCTGAATTTATTGTGGAATAGAGGAAAGAAAAGGGAACAAGACCCATCTAGCCTCAGTTTCCCAGTCTCCCTTACGGATTCATGAAATGCAGCACTTTCTTTGGAGTAAATTAATCCATCTAGAATGCAGAGAACCAACAGAAATTAAGAGCTCTCCATTTGTCTGGGGCCTATCCTGCCTTGCTCTCCTAAAATTATTGCATTATAAGACTGGGGTCCTGGTTGACAAGTTAACCGTGAGTCAGCAGTGCCTTCATGGCCAAGGCCAATGAGATCCTGGCTGCTTCAGGAGCAGTGTTGCCAGCAGACTGAGGGAGGGGATCCTGCCCCTTTACTCAGCTCCGGTGAGGCCACACCTGGAGTATTGGGGGCAGTTCTGGGATCCGCAGGACAACTGGGACGTGGAACTTCTAGAGGGGGTCCAGCAGAGGGCAACAAAGATGATTAAGGGACCAGAGCATCTATCTTACAAGGAAAGACTAAGCAAGCTGGGCCTGTTTTGCCTGGAGAAGACTGAAAGGAAATGTGATCAATATGTCTAAGCACCCAAAGGGAGAATGTAGGGAGGAACGGGCCAACCTCTTCTCAGTGGTGGCAAGTGATAGGGCAAGAGGCAATAAGTAGAAACAAAGGCAGTTCCTCCTGCAGGTAAGGAAGAACTCCTTTACTGTCAGGGTGACAGCACTTGTCACCCACAGAGCCTGAATAGGCTGCCCAAGGAGGCTGTGGAGTCTCCTTCTCTGGAGGTCTTCAAAACCCATCTGGATGCCACCCTATGCTACATGCTTTAGGTGACCCTGCTTGAGCAGGGAGGTTGGACTAGCTGATCTCTAGGGGTCTCTTCCAACCTTAACTGTTTTGTGATTCTGTGATTATATTTGGGGTTTTTTTGTTGTTATTTTTAATTGAATGATTTCATTGAATGGAGTTTCAATCCCCTGTCAACTTCCAGATGAATTTCCTAATTATCCCTCCATTAACTCTCTTTACAGTCCCGCCATTTTTATGTCCCTGGTTGTACAGTGATTCAGGAAGAAGTGGACAGGGCTCTTTAGAACATCTTTGGGATACCAGAACATTCCCCTGGGGCTCAGAGAGCAATCATGAGGTTCTTAAGTCTAAGAGGAGTCAACTATCACCTTTACTAGCACACAGCCTGACCAATAAGATACTACACATCCATCTCCACGTTGTATTGATCAGTCCAGGACAGGGACATCTACTGAATCTATATACCAAAAAGTTTAGCAAACTTGGAAGGAGTCCATACTAAACCACTGTCTCAAACTGAATTTGGACTTTAGACACAGGTAGGCAGGATTTTGGTGATCTGTAACAGTCAAAGAATATTCATCTGAGCCACTTCATGCCTCTGTATGGTGTCCCCCTCACCATTAGAGAAAGTCATCCATGTTCAGAGGACATCTCCCCACAGGCAGTAGACATTTTTTGTGCACAAGTTTGTCAAAACTGAAAAGTAGACATTATTTTTCAATAATAGTTTCCCTAAGGAAAGGCTACCAAAAGGCGTTTATAGTTTACAGAGAGAAAAACACGCCTCTAAAACATCCTATGCTTGTGACAGCCTTATTTGACATCAATGAAACAACAGATGGAAAACCACCCCATGGATTTATCCATATAAATCCGAGTGAGATTAGCATCAGCTTTTTTGAAAGACAGTATAATTGTCCCATCAGAACTGTTCTCACCTTTGTTCTTTCTGTGAAACACATACTAACTTGGAATTTAAATGTACCCTGTAAATTTTAGCCTCCATTATGACAGGCATTTAATATGAACATGTCTGACAAGGGATACATACCTGTAGAAACTGAACACTGAAGTCAGTGACAAATTGGCTTTTAACATCTCTCTGTTGCCTAATCAGTTATGACAGTCAAGAAAAACAGCTTGCCCATTGCTCAAAAATTATGTTTAGTTTCACAGTTGCAATGTATTGCTCAATCTCTCAAAGATTTCTTAATTGAAATTTTTATAATTTATAAATTCATGTGGCATCTGAAAATAGAAGTGATTTCAATTGCTGGGGAAAACTCTAAATGACAGTGCTTCAGAGGAGAGGTATGGTCAGTAGACAACAGGCAATAGAGTAGGACTTGATCCAATAATATTTCAGAAACGCTACCTTCAGTTATTTGAAGGATGTGCCCAAGTTGAGGAATCACATCAGCTTAATGCATAGTCAAGCTCACAGAAGACAAGAAACTTTA